ATGATGATGATGATGATGATGATGATGATGATGATGATGATGATGATGATGATGATGATGATGATGATGATGATGATGATGATGATGATGATGATGATGATGATGATGATGATGATGATGAGAGAGATGAGATGAGATGATGATGAGATATGTGAGATGATGAGAGTGATGATGATGATGATGATGATGATGATGATGATGATGATGATGATGATGATGATGATGATGATGATGATGATGATGATGATGATGATGATGATGATGATGATGATGATGATGATGATGATGATGATGATGATGATGATGATGATGATGATGATGATGATGATGATGATGATGATGATGATGATGATGATGATGATGATGATGATGATGATGATGATGATGATGATGATGATGATGATGATGATGATGATGATGATGATGATGATGATGATGATGATGATGATGATGATGATGATGATGATGATGATGATGATGATGATGATGATGATGATGATGATGATGATGATGATGATGATGATGATGATGATGATGATGATGATGATGATGATGATGATGATGATGATGATGATGATGATGATGATGATGATGATGATGATGATGATGATGATGATGATGATGATGATGATGATGATGATGATGATGATGATGATGATGATGATGATGATGATGATGATGATGATGATGATGATGATGATGATGATGATGATGATGATGATGATGATGATGATGATGATGATGATGATGATGATGATGATGATGATGATGATGATGATGATGATGATGATGATGATGATGATGATGATGATGATGATGATGATGATGATGATGATGATGATGATGATGATGATGATGATGATGATGATGATGATGATGATGATGATGATGATGATGATGATGATGATGATGATGATGATGATGATGATGATGATGATGATGATGATGATGATGATGATGATGATGATGATGATGATGATGATGATGATGATGATGATGATGATGATGATGATGATGATGATGATGATGATGATGATGATGATGATGATGATGATGATGATGATGATGATGATGATGATGATGATGATGATGATGATGATGATGATGATGATGATGATGATGATGATGATGATGATGATGATGATGATGATGATGATGATGATGATGATGATGATGATGATGATGATGATGATGATGATGATGATGATGATGATGATGATGATGATGATGTAATTGATTAATCAATTAACAGTTCTAATAATCTGTCACATATTCTATTTTATGATCAGTCGGATCATCAGTACGTTAATTCTAATTCCTCTAACTACTAGTATTATTTATTTAGTAGTACTATTCAAAATCAGTTTTAAAGTGATTCAACGTATGTTTTCGAAAAAAAACCAAAGTATACGTTACAACCATATTGTTTTCTTTTTTTCTATTACATCATACTTTATTTGTTACTAGGTAGAACAAATGTAATCTCTTACGTCATTCATTGTAAAATAACATATTGTACAATGGAATCGATTCATATTGTAATGTATTCTAAAGAATGTCATATGTTTATTCGAAAGTAAGGAAGTAAGAATATACAGTTGTGTTGTAATAAAATTGTAGATTGAACATTGTGAATATTCAAAACATGTGTGGTCATGTGAGCTGGATAGAGTGGTTTTGGATCTTTCATCCTTATATATGGGGAACACTTTGAACACTTGAGTTCTACTTGAAGTTTGGGTAAGACTCTAATATATGGACGAGCCAATCAGAAGCGTTTTAGAGATTTCAAGGTCACGGCGCCAAATACTAACGAACGATCGGTTCATAAGAGATTTTGTACAAAACGTAATAACTGAGCGGCTATGACAAATAAATCAGCTAGACTATAATTTGTGGACGAATCGATCGGGTATAAGATAACAGATCTCGGATTTTAGCGCAAAAGCCTTTCATCCATTTGGCTAAATAGATTTCTGGCATTATAGCTAATGTCAGTTCGTGATGAAAACCCCATATATAATTCCTAACTAAGGCAAATTACGACAATGATTGCGAACTGGATAATAAAAGCACCAGTAACACTGGCTGCAGTCAGGTACTACAATATATACGGATGATTGGAGAGCGTACAGACTTCTACATAGACTTGATTATGTACATCGTGTCATTATCCACAAGTGGCATTTTGTGTACTCAACAATTGGAGTGCACATAAACAATCTCGAAGTTATGTGTTCGAGGCTGAAAGAGTTTTTGAGACTCTATCATGACTCCAGAGGCAGACTATTCTGTAGCCATATGGATGATTTCTGCATGCATTAAGATTTTAGAACCTGTGAACCTCTTTCCAGCGTTGACAAGTTTTTGAATCATGTAAACGAAGTGTATCTACTTTATTTCCTTGGTTTTGTATAACGTATTTATACTCTATGCTGACTGTTTTCTGATTGGCTAATATTTCTCAAAGTCACTTAAATTTCGTTCAAAGGTCGTCCATAAATTATAGTCTCGCCAAAGTTTGTACTGATGATATCGTTCAGAAGAATAATGAAAGCTTCACGAAACGTCATTAAAATCATCCACCTAAGCTACAAATCTTCTTCATATGTATTAGTACAGTTTCTTAACAGCGACTAGCTACTATTTATGTTCATACATAAATGTTTACGACCTATTATGCTTCCATAACATCCCTTTATATTGTTATATACCTATGTGTACTTATGAACATCGATTAATTCTGTAGTATTATTCACTTGTTTCTCGTGATGACTAGGGACAAGGAAAACATACGAACAAGAGTTTTGTTACTTCTTGTGTTTCTCATCAATGAGATCAGAAAGAATTTATCGTCACATACATATTAAATTCATTTATTTCTTCATGAATTTAAATAAAAATAAAGAGATATTATAAGAAAAAACTGAATGATGGCTATTAGCGGAATCCAGGTTAAAGAGCGTTTCGTCTTACTTAGGACTCATCAGCTAGATGTACCTGTATTACAGTGTTCGCTCTTAGACTCGAACTGGATAATGAGATGAAGTTTGAAGCGAACGGCACGTCCAGCTGACGAGTCATAAATAAGACGAAAGGCGCATCCTGAATTCCACTGGTAGCCACCATCCATCTTTGCTTAGAATGCTTGTGAATAAAGGCAATATTGAGGCGATGCGCACAGTATGTACATATGCCAATAAGAGACTGATCAATTGTAGTCCTAAACAGATCAATGGGAAGATTCAAGTAAACAATACTAAGTGAATATAAACCCCCTTGCATAAGCAAGTAGGTATCAGGACTCAATAGCTAAGTGGATATCGCATTTCAAGCTAACGGTACTGAGTTCGAGTCCCGGAGTGAAACATTCTAATCAGTAGAAAACTGAATATCTGAAATTTGAAAAGATATCCCCAATCATTAAGAACAGTAATTGGCTGACTCTATCGCAATGAATAGACAAGCTGGGTTTAACCTATCTGTCCAAATTGAGTTTGTTCAAATCTCATATCACTAACACATATATAAAAATCAGATCTATTTCACAACATTGTAAATGTCATATTTTACTTATCCATTCAAATATACACACAAGTACATACATGTATTGTATCACTAGGGCTAAATGATGGTTAGAAAGTAGTTTGAAGAATAAGGATTATAATTCATAGTGGATAGTTAAAGTTAAGAATCAAATTTACAATTTGTCATCACGAACTGACATCAACTAAAATGTATCAAGATGATATTTGACCAAATGAATGAATGAATTTCGCATCAAAATCCAAGACCTATTACCTCAAATCTGATTGGTTCGTCCATAAGTTAAAGTCTTACCAATATTTCTTCTTAATACTTCTTACACTAAGAAAGTCTTAATAAAATAACATTGTTACGTAACTTGATGAATATCTCATCTTAATAATCATGTTTTTACTTACTTACTTACTTACTTACTTACTTACTTATGCCTGTTACTCCTAATGGAGCATAGGCCGCCGACCAGCATTCTCCAACCCACTCTGTCCTGGACCTTCTTTTCTTGTTCCATCCAATTCTTGTTCATTTATCTCATGTCTATCTCCATTTTCCGGCATAATATGTTCCTTGGTCTTCCTCTTTCCCTTCGGCCTTGAGGATTCCATGTGAGGGCTTGACTTATGACGCAGTTGGGTGCTTACCTTAATGTGTATCCTATCCACTTCCAGCGCTTCTTCCTGATTTCTTCCTCCGTTGGGATCTGGTTTGTTCTCTCCCACAGTACGTTGTTGCTAATAGTGTCAGGCCAACGGATCTGAAGTATTTTGCATAGACAACTGTTAATAAACACCTGTATTTTCTGGATGATGGCTTTCGTAGTTCTTCAGGTTTCTGTCCCATACAGTAGAACTGTCTTGACATTTGTATTGAAAATCCTGACCTTGGTGTTGGTTGACAGTTGTTTTGAGTTCCAGATGTTCCTCAGTTATAAATATGCCGCTCTTGCTTTGCCGACCCGCGCCATCACATCTGCATCAGATCGACCCTGTTCATCAATGATGCTGCCCAAATATGTAAAGGTTTTTACACCTTCCAAATCTTCTCCGTCAATTGTGATTGGATTGGTGCATGCTGTGTTGTATCGGAGTATCTTGCTTTTCCCTTTGTGTATATTGAGACCTACTACTGCTGAGGCTGCTGCTACACTGATCGTTTTCTCCTGCATTTGTTGTAGCGATTGCGATAGGAGGGCAAGATCATCTGCTTAATATTCATGTAACCTAATTAAATCCTTTATGATTAGAAGTCACTTGAAATGATCCCTTTTCTAAGGTCATTAGTTCAAAAATGTTGTACATACTATCAGGTCATGAGGAAAACCTACTTTCAATCAATAATTCATTTATGATTACATAATGCTTCATAAGTTATTGCGTATTTAGACAGATTACATAACAGATGTAATAGTAATAATAGTAATAATAATGATATCAAAATGCTCACAAATTGTTACTAACCTTCAATAACCTTTGTTGTCACTGTAACTACCTCGTTTGTTGCTTCATCTTTAGTAAGTAATTTTGGTTTCTTTGATTTTGGTATTTTTCCATTATTCTGTAATATTAAAAAAATGGAATAAATTTCGATTGTTTATTCAACATTATAGTTATATAATATACCCTTGTGAGCCAAGGTAAGTTTACATTGGTTTTCAGGAGAACCAGATATCATCTAGACTTTCACGTGACAACTCAAACAGTACAGCTCAATCCCGTTTAACAGGAGAGCCAGACACCATCCAAGATTAAATTTTATAACCTGAGCAGTACAGCTCAATCCTGCTTCATAGGAGAACTAGACACCATATAGGCTTTAACACTATAATCGGAATGGTACAGCTCAATCCTGTGACGTAACTACACAAGTACCAAGCACCCTGGTGGACCAATATTCAACATATATACATAATAAGTAAGTTCCATGTTTTATAGTAAAGTAGTAATGGTAAGAAATGGATACATTTGAATACATTCTACTTGTAATTAGTTGAAAGTAATAACGTAGGCTTTCATTCAACTTGGTCTAATTAAAACATAATTAAATAGTTTTATAGTTGAATTCACGAATTTATTCAATCCAGATCATCCGGGAAAACCCGAAAGTACTGGATGGCTGTTTCATTCTAGTATTGAGCTCGTCAGAAGTGTGCATTCACAATCTCGCCTATGGGATCCGAACCCAGGACCTTCGATCTCGAGCACGAACGATTAACTTCCAGCACACTGAGCTGGCATCTGACGCTGCTAATGTCTAAATCCAATCAATCCCGATATTGAGCGACCGACTGGCTTCATGAGATATTTCCTAGAGTTTTAGTGAGAAGCCATGATCAGTGGAATTCAACCCTGTTTGTTGTAAAGCAGTAACGCACTTAAAACAATGGTGGACGGTGGAGCGATTTCATGGATTGGTTAAAGTTTGACATTAACACCGTCAGATGCTAGCTCATTGGTCTGGAGGTTAAGTGTTCGTGCGCGATATCGAAGGTCCTGGTTTCGAATCTCGCGAGCGTGATCGTTGATGCACGATACTGAGGAATCTGATATTAAGATGAAACGTCCATCCAGTTCTGCCGGGTTTTCCATGTTGGTCTAGCTTTAATCGACCCATGAATTTAACTTTTAAATGAACTCTGCTCATAACAATGATAGAGATTGTTAGATTTAATGTTTCTCATCACAGATTATATTTAGTTAGACAAACAGTATGAGATCCCTAAAACTAATGTCCGATTAGAGATTGGACCCACAACACTCATGCCTTTCGGTTAACCTTTTACCTAGAAATTAATCATTCTAAATTTGAATGAAGCATATCTTTGAATTTAATGAAGTTTCTATGAACTATTCAATTCACTAATAGTCATGAAATTCAATATAATAGATGTTAAGATGAATTGCCCTAGTAATCGATTTTGTCAACAGTGTTGAAACTTAGGTAGTTAATCAATGGTGGACTAGGAGTACTTCTGGATGTTCAATAGTTTTTCGTGAGATATCAACTTGTAATGTAGAAACTATTGATTTCTAATCAGTCACAGTAATCAGTTTGTTTCACAATTGATTGATCACTGGGTGGTGATCAATTTCATGCTTGTCTAGTCCTTATTAGTGCAGATCGAATGCTATCGATCAAGTTGAAATGTGGTCACCAGTCTAGGTGACTCGACACTGCGGGCACTATGTATTGAGATTTAGATGGTGGTTGGAGGTAGTCAACAGGAAACCCTGGACCCGGGTTTCGTGCTACTTGGCACTCGTCAGCAAGGTGTGCCTGTAATCTTGAGGGAACTAGTGCTCCCTGGCGGATTCAATTTCGTGTCACCCAGCTTCACAGTCAGAGACGTTACCACTGAGCTATCCGAGCCGTGACTAACCTCCTGTAGGACTGAGATGTAATCACAATTGATTGATCCGCCAGGGAGCACCAGTTCCCTCAAGATTACAGGTACACCTTGCTGACGAGTGCCAAGTAGCACGAAACCCGGGTCCAGGGTTTCCTGTTGACTACCTCCAACCACCATCTAAATCAGTTTGTTTATTTCATTATTTTCATTAGGTATGACCTTATTGATCTACCTTTCACTTATTCACTTGCTCAATCTCTTTCTTTTTCACATTTGGCTATTCTCTCTAAAAGAAGTTGATTTTTATCGATTACAATTTCACTTGGAGTACCACTGGACAACTATCATGTGTTGTTATGGAGCAGCGCCTACCTATGAACCCATAAGGAGTCAAATCTGAGACTTGAAAGTCTCGCAACTAACTTATAAATCTTAAACCTACTAGGTAAACGTTCAACGGTATAATTTCAACTGTAATCATTTGTTTTGATGTAGCGTAAGGATCATCCAATTCTGTTGATGATGTTAATAATTCAGCTCTTAATGTGTCATCAGCACACTGATAAAAGGTCTTAGTATCTACTGCTTCCTAACTTTTCATAATTCCATAGATGACAAGAAAGATCTTGACCATTATTTACACCGTTTCCTTTAACTACTCAACCAATATTAACTGTGATTATGTAAGCCATCGTCGAAATTGACGACGGATTAGCTTCAAACTGTTGACAGTTTTTCAGATGAAATATCAAAGAACTTTTTGGTGGAGTTTTGTTCTCTGAGCTGGATGGTTTGGTCGTGGAGCTTTCATCGTTCTTATGAACGACATCATCAGCACAAACTTCAGATAGAAGTGATCAAATTCTCAACTACAATAGCTACAACCCCAGAGCTCACGAAATCAACTGCGTACACAATTTGTTCAGGAGGGCGAGGACACACTGCAGCACACTGGCAGCACGAAGAAATGAAGAGAAATACCTAAAGGATGTATTTCAGAAGAACGGATACCCCATCAACTTCATCAAAAAATACCAACCGCACGCAGCATTAGAACTCAAGTCAAGCACAAAAATCAACAAAAGGATCACCCTACCATATATACAAGGAATATCAGAAACAGCGACGAGACTGCTGAAAACCTTCGGAATAGGTGTGGCACACAAACCGGCCAAATCACTACAATCAATCTTATGCAAACCAAAAGATGAAATAACAAAGGAAAACAAATCAAACATCATCTACAAAATAAATTGTGCCAACTGCGAAAAACACTACATCGGACAAAGCGGACGCCCCCTCCACCTTCGCCTACATGAACATCAATTAGCAGTCAAACGGCATGATATCTCTTCACTTATATCAATACACGTGGACAACTGCGGACACTCATTCGATTGGAAAAATGTGGAAATCCTAGACAGAGGAAACTCCAAAAACACCAGAGAATTTTTAGAAGCTTGGCACTCAGGTCAATCAGCAATCAACAAGCATATTGAAATCAATCCAATTTATCAACCAATCAGAAAAATCATGCACAAACATAAGAACAAAAATCAAAACAATGGGAGACACAACCAAAACAAAGAAGCAAACAACGACAAATTTAAGGTCAATAAGAACCAATCAACGTCGAGGTGCACAGAACAAGCTTTGAGACACATATGGAGAAATTCAAACACTTCACTTCTATCTGAAGTTTGTGCTGATGATGTCGTTCAGAAGAACGATGAAAGCTCCACGACCAAACCATCCAGCTCAGAGAACAAAACTCTACCAAAATCATCCACCTGAGCTACAAATCTTCTCCACCATCTCAATATCATAGAACTATACTTAATATCTTACTTATGGTCACCGTAACTTCCCATCATATTTTTTTTCTGTAATTACATTACTTTCTATCATTCATTGACAAAAGGCTATTTCACTTATCTGATAATCATGAATGAATCATATTGTTTCCTGACTAACTCTAAATAACATTCCTCTATTGATTGACAGTTTTTAATACTGTACACGCAAATTGTGTAATAACAATACAGGTTTTCCCAACTTAGAAACGAGAAAATTCATACCCCCTCCACCCACACCCACCCCAAATTTACCTTTGGATGAAAACTTTAGTTTAATACTTGTAACAAACAAAACGTTATAGTATTTTTCCCTATTGTTTTCTCTTCACTAATACATAGACATACACACGTTTGAGCGTGAGTGAATCCAATCCCATGGTATATATACATATATATATATGTGTGTGTGTGTAAGATTACAAAATCTCCAGGCCAAAAAATTAGGTAACTTGTGTTACGAGCTGATTTTGGCTAGAGAAACATTAGAAACAGACAAGTGATGAATAACAGTTTCGTTCTAGTATGAGATTCTTTAGTAATAAACATTCTAATAATAACTAAACTTTCAGTGGTTATCAAACTAAATGTAGTCAATAATGTAATACTAAGACGAAACGGCCTTCCAGTGCTTCCAGGTTTTCCATGGTGGTCTAGCTTCAAATGACTCATGATTTCAATCAGTGAAATTTCTAAAAAATCTCCACAAAACCCATTCTGATAATAATCATCTGCTCACTAGTGACTGACTTCAACAGATACTCCTGCAGTTCTAGTGAGAAGCCGTTACCAGTGGAGTTCAACCAGGTCTGTTGTGAGATATCAACTCACTGAAGACGATGGTGTACGGTGGCACAACTTCGTGGATTGGTTGAAGTTAGACATTAACACCGTTGGATGCCGGCCAGTTCAGTGATCTAGTAGGTTAAGTGCTCGCGCGTGAGACTGATAGGTGCTGGGTTCGAATCTCGTGGGGTGCGGGATCGTGGATGCGCACTGTTGATGGGTTCCATACTAGGACGAAACGGTTGGCCAGCGCTTCCAGGTTTTCCATGGTGTTCTAGCTTCAAATGACTCATGATTTCAATCAGTGAAGTTCTTAAAAAATCTCCAGAAAACCCCTTCTGATAATAATGTAATACTATCAAATACAGTGATATCAACATTCGCCCCTATACAAACAAACGATCATATACCATCCTGTAACTAATTTAGAGATCTGATTCCTAAAGTCTTATTGAGAAACTATGGCAAGTTCAAAGATTGTTGGAGTGAAACAGGTATTACCAAAAAGATGAAAAATAAAGTAGAAAGAATAATGAAATATATTTTAGTGGAGTTCAAATACGAAATAT